GGTTGTCCGCCAACTGCGTCGTCTTCCGTTGAGATCAACTAATGAATCCTTTCATCGTCCACTTTCGTACAGAATGAATGTCTCCACAAAATGTTTTATCAGGAGACTGTTTGTTGTAAACCCGATTTCTATTATTATTATATACATTTTTCGCATAGCTACGAAGTTACATTGGCAGACTTCACGCAGAATCGGAGGACAGACAACCACTATTAAAGTCTAGAAGTTCCATTAAAAACTCTGAAAAGATGATATGTGCCCCAAAGGGTTCCTTGGCGATCTATTTTAACATGTCAGGGTCAAATTCTATTCTCCTTTTAATGTTTTCGTACTTTCCGACATTGGATAATTTCCTTTCTGTTTAACATTCTCTAGTTTTAATCTCCCAGCAACTAGTTCCATTTCCAAGGAATAGTTGGCCTTAGTGAAAACCGAAACAGGCTTGCCGTATAGGAAAGTCTATTGAAGTATGCGAAGAAATCTTCAGTGACATGCGTGACAGACAGCATCGGTACACGGATCCAGAATTTACGAAAAAGGGCAAAAATAACTTATTGGTTTAGTACATTTTGCTCTATTTCGTAACGTACGAATTCTTGTTCTGATGCTGTTTGTCACGGCGGTACAGAGGAAAGCTTAGCATTAGTTCATGGGAATCGCAGAACGATGAGTCGAGGACTTTTTTGCACAATACAACAATACAACAAAGATCTGCCGATCACTCATCGAAAGACAGTCAAAACACCAGAGCTCAGGTATTAATCCAAAAAGAAGCCAAAATGCTGCCTCGAATCGTAGGTCATATTGAGAGACTGAAGAAAGCCGTAAGAAAAGTGCAAAAGCCTCAAAAGCTGAACCGTATAGCGTGAGATTGAGAAAATAAGGTAAAAAACAGTTTGATTAGACACTACTCACGCCATTTAAGTAGTGCAGATTTAGGGTTTTTGATCCGAGCAGTACGTTTTAACCCACAGGACGGGGCAATGGGGTATCGGATGATGAATCCAAGACGAGGTATAAACCACAGTTTAGTCAGGCTGAGATTACCTTTTAGATTCGACTTAATGATCTGATTATGAAAAAAATTGGACGATTAGTCTTTCATTTCCTAACACGATATTTGCTGAATTGAGTCTCTTGGTTATTTCGGAACCTAAGTTGTCTTCCAAAATAGAACTACTTGATGACCAGCTCAAATCAAGTTTTCATCAGAGTCCAAAGGAGGACAAAATAAAGTTGACAAGCCTGCAAAGCTGTTTTTGAAAGCATCACATTGACGAAGTAATATCATTATTTTGTGAATCGAGACTACTCATAGCGCCACAAGTAATACAAACTGCCAGACACAATATTGGCTGCCTGATTGTTCGGTGGCGTTCACTCGAACACAGAAAAATACTCACAGTTTGTGCTTCCGCTTCTGCTGCCTGCTGCCGACCTGTGGCCGGCGGATTGCGGCGACACAGTTGCCATGGCATTGGCGGCCAGTTTGTGGCCGACGACAGTCGTCGCCGTGGGAGGCGGCGACGGCGACGGCGACGTGGACGAAGAGACAGCGAGCGCGATGAGGCCAGAGTGACGATCGGCCTCGAGCAAACGGCTGACGG